ACCCGTGGAAGTGGTGACGGTGGTCAAGGGAATGAGAATGACATGAGTAGCTATGACAACCATGATCATAGCACACAGACCTTTTGTAGAACTACCAACTGAAATAAATTGACAATGAGTTTCACTCTAAGGGGGCGTTCGAATTGTCTTCATCAACTGTTCGAAAAAAAATTTAAGAGATTAGTTGAATGGTCCCATTAGAATGGTTTCTATCATTTTAGAGTTTTTCAGTGAAATTGTCATGGCGATGATGACGTCCGATCAGATCGACCATCTCCACGTACTACATGACGTAGTTATTCCAAACTCTTCGGAACAAATCCACCTCTCCCATCGGATGAGGTTGTGGAGTTTCGAGGAGTTTCGTTTTTCTGAAGAGGCCAATAAGACCACCTCTTCAGAAAAACGAAGCTCCTCGAAAAGTCAAAGAGTGACAATTCGAACGCGTCCTTAGTGATAGTCCTTGTAAATTGGGTAAGCCTGGTTTCAGCTACAGTACTTGGATGATGAAGAACTCCGGGGGGGGGGGGGGGGAGGAGGATAGGCCAAAGGAAGCGGATAAAACATTGAATTGCTATCAATGAAGCAAGGAGGGAATCCTCACCGTTTTCCCAGCGGACATTAGCTGCAAAATGACAAACGGATCAGAGAACCCGCTGCGATCCATAGCCCTCAAGTTCTGCACATGGTGTTAGCACAAGAAGCAAGCATAGGCATTCTATCAAGGCGAGAGAGAGAGAGAGAGAGAGAGAGAGAGAGAGAGAGAGAGAGAGAGAGAGAGAGAGAGAGAGAGAGAGAGAGAGAGAGAGAGAGAGAGAGAGAGAGAGAGAGAGAGAGACAATGATGGAGAGGGAAGCAAGCGGAGAGCCCAACAAACAGACGACAGATGGACATACAGGAAAGTGGACAAACAGACAAAAAAGATATGGAAAGATGCAGACAGATAAACAGCCATATACAGACACAGTTTTACTGTACAACGGCTAATTTTAACGGGTAAAGGTTTTAGAATTTTCTGAATCGGTCCAAATCGCCTTGAACATTATCAGCAATCCGAGTTTCCGAGTTTAAAAAGGATGATTAGCACTGTACACACAACATTTCGATTGGCGTGGCCAACCTTAGCGAAAGCACTCATTTCGCTTAAGTCGCAAAATTAGCCGATTTACATTATACAGACAGACAGACAGACATGAACAGAGAGATCGATATTGGCTCCTGTGAGTGGGTCGGGGGGGGGGGGGCAGGCGTGAAGGTTTGGCTGTGTGTGTGTGTGTGTGTGTGTGTGTGTTTGTTTGTGTGTGTGTGTGCGTGTGTGTGTGCGTGTGTGTGTGTGTGAGCGTATGCGTGCCTGTGTGTGTGTGTGTGTTTGTGTGAGCGTGCCCATGTGTGTGTGTGAGAGAGCATGCGTGTGCCTGTGTGTGTGTGGAAGCGTGTGTTTGCCTGTGTGTGTGTGTGTGTGTGTGTGTGTGTGTGTGTGTGTGTGTGTGTGTTTGTGTGTACATGTATTGGCTTAGCTCTAGAGCAACAAGAAGGAGTTTATCCGGGCCGTCCGGGGCAGAGCACCGCCCGTATCTTCGAAATGTAAGTAACTTCGACTCACCTACATTATGATGGGGAAAGGCCATAAATACGGTATATGACATCACTAACTCCACGAAAGTGACAAAAGAGTAGTAATATTTCCACTGACACCCGAGCCAGCCGGGAAAAAACCCTCGCGCTGACGGACGCAGTAGTGAGGGAAAAAAACCGGGTGTATATCCCCAACGGCGACATAGGAGTAACGGATAAGACCACGGTGAGGTAGCCACGACCCTTGTTCGAGGTACAGCGTCTCTGCACTGGAGTCTCCCACTGCTTGAGCCAGCTGCTCAATGAAGTGGAAAGTATATAAATGGAGAAGACATGGTGTCAATAAGAAGTGTAGCGCTCGCACTTGACAATGCAAAGTGTGTGGCATGACGCAAAATGCACATTGAAGAACTACGGAAGCCAGGACCAGCCCTCCCTTGGCGAGTACACCGACTGTGAAGCAGTCACTGCAAGGAAAGTGCACACACAAGAACAACACAGAAAGCTACTTGAGCAAAATATTGCTCATCCATGCATACTATGGACACAATCGGACTGCATTCGAGCGAGGCAAACATCTTTTCTTTGCATGTTGGAACACTGTACAAGACACATAAAGACACACATGTCTACTAACTGAAATACATTTATTGCACAGAAAAGTCAATATGAGTGTGTCCGAATGTACCTTTGAATAGACAAAAGCACATAAACCGCACACCAATGGATGAAAGTGGCGAAAGAAATGCAAGGCACAAAGCACTCACCACTCATGGAGGCATATCATCAGCTGCATTGCCGCCGTCAGCCATGCACGAAACCATATCCCGCATCTGGCGCACGACCTTCAACACTGCTGGCTGGGTGGAAGCCTGCTCCAGTTCATCGCACAATGCAGAGGCAGCATTGTTGTCGAGCGCGAGATGTAGTAGCTGCTGGAATTCTTTCCTGAGGGAAGCCATAGTCCGTCTCGTATCACTCCCGTGTTTCTCGGCCTCTTCGGTGGTCAGAAAGTGTGGTGGCTGAGACTGCCTGGACAGCGGATAGGCACCATCTCCAAATAATGTCGCTAGCTGCTTCCGTCTGGCTTTACCCACAGCAGTGAGGTTCACAGCATCCGGCACCAATTCCTCACCAGGACTGAAGGATTGCAGTGGTCTTGAAAACGCTAGCTCACCATTGGGAACCAACATTGTTCTCAGACGCGCACGCCACACCAGAAGTTCCTTAGCATAACCGGGACGGGCTCTCGATTCCGACTTTGGATCTGGCAGCTGTAGGGCACTGAATACTTTGGAGCGGAGCTTCATGAGCTGCTCATGGTTATGGATCACCCGGCGCCACATGTTGGAGTCTTTCTCCCCTGACACCCATGACTTCACATTGGCATTTAGCTCTTCGACGATAGCATCAAGTGCCTGGTGGAGGTCACCCTTTCCTGACCTGCTGAGGAAGAGAGTGCTGTCAATGAGACTTCGCAAATCTGTTGAGAGCGAGACGCGACGGACTTCCTCGGACATGTCAATCACTTGATATGTTGTGTGATTCCTCGCATGCAGCAATGGAGAGAGAACTCTGCGAGACTCAATGAACAGTGGTACGTCGTTGTGCCGTGCTCCCCGCCGAAGCATGAATAGTGGAAAGCAGTACTGAGTGCACAGCTCCAGCAACCAGGAATACGTATGATTGTTGGTGAACTGCTTGCACCAAACGAAGAAACCCTCTGCTGAAGGGGTGTTGCTGCCAGATTCCTGGGCGAGTACATATGGCCGCAGAAGTTCGTCAAAGCAGCCATCCGTGAAACGGCTCAGCTCATCGTATGTGCGGTGGTGGTCTTTGGCTTTGAAGGCCCAATCCAATTGCTTAGGAGAAGTATATCCCTGGCTAATAGCGAACTCCTTATAGGCAAATGGCCACAGAGACTTGACAATGCACTGGATGATGTTCATCTCCCAGTGCAAGCCACCTGAAATGGGTAGTACCCAATCAAACTCCCCATCAGGAATGTTTGTTGGGGGCATCAATTCAACCTTCTCAACCAGATCATCTAAAAACTTCCTCAGCCTCTCACGTAACGTACTCATGTTCCCTGTTACACCCAAGCCCCTTGTACTGCATGCACTCTTCAGGTCAGCCTTCGACATTGAGTCGACATGCAATATTCCTGCTTCATGGTTAGCCAATTTGGCTGCATCACGCCTTGCCTCCTCCATCACAGTCAATATGAGGGAGTACGGCAAGCCGTCACACACAACAGTGAGCCATTTCCTCACCCCCTCGTCACCTACACATTGTTTTACCCTTGCACGCTTCCCAACATCGCGCAATACAATGCGAACAGCTTCATGGGAGTTGGGGTTGACAAAAATGGGCTCTAGAAACCCAACATCTGCCGGGGACACAAGGGGCACATCTTCACCACTGGTCTTTGAGGACACTCTGGTTAACGAAACACCGGTACTGCTGTCCACATGCGGTACATACACAAACTCGGTGCCTGACTTTAGTGTGTCTGGCTTGGTGACTTTGATGTGCTCGGTCGACACCACTGATTTGCCTTGGTCAGCTTGCAATGCCTGCCTAACATTTACCCTGCATGTCGCATTGGGACACAAATGCAGCCTGCGCTCCATCTGTGTGCAACATTTAGGGCAGATCAGGTACCGTCTTTCTCGTTCCAATGATGCAAGATGGCTATCAACTGGGTCAGCTGATAGCCTCTGCTCAGACACAAGAGCTTCAATCCTTTTGTTCATGAAACTCAGCAAGTGTGGCTTAATCAAAGATTCTTGATCAAGAGGATCCGGTACCTGATCTATTGCACATTGAATCTCAGTGACAGTTGGAAATCTCCAATTTCGGAAATGGAAATCTCCCTTTTCTTGGGAAGGAACATGGGAAAGACGGGCATAGACAACATTGGTCAGAACCTCATACGTGGAACGATTGCTGCCACGGGAGAGGTACGACTTAAGTTGTCGTTGCTCATTGTCAAACCCAACACTCACGAACCCTTCAGGAACTTGCAGCTCGCTACCACCCAACCCAGCCAACCAATCTTTCACGAGCTTATAACTCCCCCCCCCCCCCCCGACCCTAGGTGACCAAAAATGTCGAGGGTTGTCTTGCTTTGGGTGATGCTGTACACTATCGCCTGGAGCAAAACATGGAATTCTGCACAGTAATTCAAGTTAGCAGCAGCATAGAGAGACTCCATGGCTTGCGCTTGAAGAACTGTGCGGCGGTCGGCAACGGAGAAGTCAAGTGCAAACGTGCTGGAGGTCATGCCCGTCACAAACGTCTCAACAAACTTGTTGTAGGGTTTGTTGCTGAACTGACCCGTCGGGATGGACAGCAAGTTCTGCAATGATCTACTTGACTTTGCTGACTCAACAGCACTCAACACATCTGCTTTGAACTGCGGCTGCTCAGCCACACACAGCCTACGTAGCAAGTCCAAGCGACCTTCCGAGGTGCTCAGAAGCGAACCTACACTTTCCTTTTTCATACTAATTATTTCCTTCTCAAGTAATTCAATTTTGCTATCCTTCTGCAAATGCATCTTCGACAATGCAGCCAACGCACAGTTTTTGGCCACCAACACTCTCTCTAAACGCTTCAAAGAATCAACATTTTCAACATTATCAACATTTTCAACATTATCTACCGGTACTTCGTTTGAGGCTGAGGAGGTTTCTCGGGACTGGCTGAAGACAGGGGGAAAAGAATCATCTACATCATCGCAGGAGCTTACCTCTGGGAGAGCCTGAGGAACATCATCGCTGGCATTTACCATGTCTACAGAGTCCCCATAGCTATCGCCCCTCCGAGGCTCGTACAGAGGGTGGTTGGTGATTAAATCCTTCAAGTCAGCCAGTCGTCCGCAGCTCCTACAAATTGCAGATACGTCTCGTCCAGAGAGCGCTGACAACACTGCCAGGATACACTTGCGAACCCGAACATCCTTGGAGCTATGCCGAGGCGATTCCCACTCATCGTGGAAGGGATTCTTGCACGCAAACTGGTATTGAGAACCTCCAGAGTGTCTCTTCTTCGTGGATATCTTGCCCATGATGACAAAATGTTGAAAATGCAAAACGGGCTTCTTCTCGTCGCTTCTCTCTCGAGAACGACATGGCAGAGTTCAATTTTTTTTCGGGCAAAACCTCCATAAACCCCTACAGGCCAGGCAAAAACACTGTCCAACCTCCGCACTTTTGGGGTTACCTCCGCAAAGTTACCTAAAGAGGGACTGATATTTCAAGGCAAATCGAAATTGTGCCACATCTCTTTCAATGAGAACAGAGGCCTTCGCAGCGCATCCATCTTCCTCTTTTTCGGGCCGCGGGCGCACGGCGGGCGCACGGCGCGATTTGACCGTGCGTACTTGTCAATCTCCATATCAACGCCTGAGTTTTCGTGTAAAAACCGAATGTTCCCTGAACAAGGGATTCCCTCGACTGTAGACCGAAGTGCCCGTAACTGCGGGGACCAGATAACCGAGGTACTGTAAAAGCCATAAATATATAATGAAGTGCTAACTCTAACGAGCTAACGAGGAGAAATCTGTCGCTGAAATAGAAATCGTTATCCAGAAATCGATACATAATTATACCGTCCTATTGAGCGTTGAGAATAAGTGAGAATCGTTACCTTTGGTACACGTAAACCAGTCAATTTGGGGAAATCGTTATTATATGCGCCTCGTTAGAATAATGGCTTTAACAGTATGAGTGTAATAATTGGTCTAGTACCACCCTGTGCAGGTGTTTACTGTCGAGGACCATAGGGTGTGGGAAGGCCCAATTGAGCTCACACAACAGAAATACTTACAGAACAGCTGTGTAGATCAATGGACAACCTGCTCTCTTCCGTATCATAGGAAACCGAAAAGAATATGCGGCCTAGATTGACGTGACTTGAAGCTGCAGAAGCAATGCTGGCACTCGCTCCGGGATTCGACGTGGTACGAGCTGTGCAGAATATCACAAATGCCACACATCGTGCGTTTTAAAGGACAGCTGCTAAATGATTTCAATGTGACACTTGGGAAATTGATCGTGTCATCTTCATGCAGCCACACCAGATGGACAGGTCCAACTCCGAGTGTTAAGAGTTCCACATATTCTCAAACGGTTCACTTTCAGGGAGTTGTGCTTTCTTGCAGGGTTGCCGAGTGGAAGGTGTGACATGCTCCTCATGTGCTCCGGATGGCAATCATGAGTCAGTCAAGTGTCAAGTTGGGCAGGGAAGCATGTGTTCCACGTAGGAACAACCAACTTCATCTAGTTCACTTTTGTCAACACGAAGGTATAATTATAGTGAGTTTCCATGCTCAGAGAATCCAGTGGATCATATTACGCGTGTGTGTGTGTGGAAGGGGGGGGGGGGGTGTGCGCCCGCGGGTGCGTGCGTGTGGGTGTGCATGTGGGTGTGCATGCATGCGTGTGTGTAACCACTAATCCTGAATGACAACAGGATAACAAAGTCCACTTGGCAGCGTGGTAACAATCATAGTGTTCAAGCTCACAAAGACTGGCAAACAACTCCTTCTGGCAGGGGATAGAATAAGCATTCAGAGCACATTGTACACACCGATCATGCACTCACCAATCCTCTCCTTGGTCTTCACCTCGCTGACAAGCGCATCTATGTCCATGGTGGTGGCATCTACCTCCTGCTCACTGCTTGACTCGTGATGCATTGGTGGTCTAACGGACTGCTTGCCCTGACGCTTAAACACGGCCTGAGAAGAGATGTGACAATAACCATTTGATATGATATTAGATGGATGACGGCATGGATGGATTAATAGCTGGCTGGACAAGTGGGCGGGTGAGTGAGTGGGTGAGTTGATGGATGGATCGATGAGTGAATAGATGGATGGATGAGTGGGTGGATGGGTGGAAGAATTGGTGGATCCGGGGGATGACTCCCGAACCCTCCACCCATTCATGGGCGCACCAATGTCGAACACCTTCCGACGCCCCTGCCTACCTGTCCTCTTGTTTGCTTCTTCCGGCGCTCTGTCACTGGACTGGAATTCCGAGATGCGACCGGCGCTGAAGAAAACCACATATGCACAGTAGCAAGAAAATTACACGGGCGGTTGCAAGCAAGATCTTTTCTCCGGGATTAAATATTTATGAGAAGAAAAGAGGACCAAAGAGCTACAAGTTACGCTATAACATCCACTAACACCATCAGTTACTTTACAATCAGCTCATGCGATAACATTGCACGACACTGACTGACGGTACTGATGTTCTACACTTAAATGGCAATCAGCTCTAGCACATCTTGGATGCGCACTCCAACAGCTTCCAGCTTGGAAGGTTCTAAGTTATAGAAATAACATTAGGAGGGGACGGCGAGCGCAACCAAGACAAGCACAAGCTGAAAGTCTCAGCTGTGAAGGATGTTGGCGGATGTGCAGTAAAGCCTGTAACTAAAGACCACCGTCACTAGCGACCAACCTGGTACTACAGATCACTTCGCCAGGCACGGCCGGTCTCACATTCATGTATGGTGGTGCGGTGCAAACCTCTAACTAAAGACCACCTACCACTAAAGACCGCTTTCTTCGGCCCCAAGGGGTGGTCGTTAGTCACAGGTTTACTGTACATATATGGCTGTTGGAGTGCTATCAGTGATACTCACATGGCACGTGGGTGCCTTCACTACCAGCTCCATCACTGCTTTCCGGCTTCTGTGTTTGCAAAAATACACCACATTAAAATTCGAAACCCTCTCAGGAGGCAGTGCATGCACAGAAAATCAAATCCCGTACTAGTATTTTCCCTGATTAAGCACTTGATTATAAGTCTCAGTTACTCATCTCGCACCGCTTAGGAGCTGAATCTGTGCCTTGATCCTAGTCATTCGGTGCTCCGCTGACGCGACCTAATGAGGTCGAGAAAGGTTTTATTGAGATGTAACGAAGTGGTGATAGGCAAAGAAATAACTACTGTACAAGCAGAAACATTCGTCTGGAATTTAATTTCGTCTTTTTCGTCCAAGGAAGTTTTGGACTAAATTAAATGCCGGACGAATGTCGATTTGTCCAGCTTTTCAATACACTCTTAACCCTTTGTGTACGGACTGTACAATTTTCGATCCCCTGGGATCGAAACTTTTCAAATTTTCAATCGATCGTAACTCAGTCATTTCTGGGTTATATCCGAAAACTAAAATATGTAAGTCAAAGAGAAAACTCCCAGCTGTCCATTGAAACAATCGCTGAAGCGCTCCGATGTGTGGTTCCAGAGTTACGAAGCTCGAAAGTCGAAACGCGGCAAATGTTGCTCAATAGCCGCTCGCGCAAATTTGAATGAGGGATTTCCCCATCATTCTGGGCATGCAGTGACGTAGAAACACGTTCAAAATGGTAAACGGACTCATGGCAGTTTGTGAAAATTTTCTGAAGTAACAGCTAGTTGTTACGAGCAAGGAGAGCGAAATGGCTGATGCAAGACGAAATCTGTCGGAATATTGGCGTTGCAGCTAAGACGCTGGGCTGTAGCGCTGGCGTTTTGACCTTCGTGGTGGCAAGCGTGGGCTCAATGTGTTCCTCTTGCGACGAGCTTTCCAGGAAGCCCAAGATTGAAAAAATCGTCAAAAGGAGACTAAAGTTATGACCCGGATAATTATAGAATTTGAGGTGAGTCGAGATCAAATTCAGTCTTTGTACAATTTTTCAGTACATAAAGGGTTAAGATCCATGGACGAAATTTACAGCCAGACGAACTCCCTTTCTTTGGAGTTGGACGAAATTATTGACCGACGAAATTTTCTGCCTCTACAGTATGATGGAAATGTAATGTGAAGAACAATAATAGGAACGATGAAAAACATAAAAATGCATCGAACTAGCTTTCGCACAACGCTCATCAGGAAGCATCGTTGTACTAATTAACAAATTGCAACACAGACTACTATAAAGGATCAATAGTTATAAATAACACCTAAACAATGCCAAAGAAGTATCACAAGGTACTGTATAAGCAGAAATATTCGTCTGGAATTTAATTTCGTCTTTTTCGTCCAAGGAGCTTTTGGACTAAATTAAATGTAGGACGAATATCGATTTGTCCAGCGTTTCTATACACTCTTATGATCTTTGGACGAAATTTTCAACCGGACGAACTCCTTTTCTTTGGAGTTGGACGAAATTATTGACCGACGAAATTTTCTGCCTCTACAGTATTCTTGCAAGATACCATGTACGTGAAAGATCACAATCAAACACTCCAAGGGGACAAAATTCAAGTATGAAACAACGCATTTTTATATTTTTCATCGTTCCTATTATTGTTCTTCACAATTCACATTACATTTCCATCATAGTTCTTTCTTTGTCCATCACCACTTTCTCTAGAATTTGTTCGTGACATTTCAATAAAACCTTCGTGACATGACGCTTCAGCTGATTCTCTATATTGCCATCCTTAAACACCAAAAGGTATACCCATTAACGCACTGAAGCACTTACCTGGTCTGTACGACGTGCACGGCGCTGAGACAGCTTGACTTTTCTGCCCCTTCCGCCCATCTTGGGCGAGTCCTGAGCGGATGAGAATGCCTTTGTCCGCTGGCGAACGTCCCCTGTCTCGGCGCCGCGTGCCCCTTGGTCTGTGTTCGCCCACAGCACAAAAACACACAGGGACCAAGCACAGTAGATACGCCTCAATAGCCTGCATCCACGACGTCATTGTGACATTACTATGATGTCATTATGACATCACTATGATTGAATTATGATGTCATCAGTGCACATTCGGCTGGATTAAAACATGAGAAATCCTGATCTGAGAGCAGAGCAAGTGCCCATCCCGTCCCTACGGCTTTGCACACATGTTCAACTTCTGATCAGTCATCACCATACACACAGTGTATTATTAGCTACGGCATCATGAACTCAACCCGCATTATGCATGAGTACAGTACTGTCTGGCGCCGAAGAACGGACCGCCGAAGAACAGCCAGGCTAGAATTTCGCCAGTTTTTAAGAACGGCGTAGGTTGGATTTTTGCAGGTAGGAACGCAAACCATAATATACATGTACACTCAGACGAATAACTTTGCATAAATGTACATGTTTAACGACTGTACCATCGAATAAGAACGAAACTGCTGTGTTCGCTAAAAATAAGGACGGGCTAGGCTAGAACCCTGACCCCCCCCCCCCCCCCCCCCCAGTTCTTCGGTGCTCGACAGTACTGTAATTCCATATCAACTGATTGAAAAGCCAGACAGCTATACATTTCGAGAGCCTTGTGAGAGAGTTCAAATAATATTTAACTCAACGGTGGCTAGAATATGCTGAAAGCACAAGACACGACAACGCATACCGATATTGTCGGACCGTGAACGGATAACCTGCGGTGGGAAAGGCTTGCTGCTCGTCTCCTCGCGCTTAATGAGCGCAAAGTCACGTGCTCTCTTCACTAAAATATCATCATCCGTGTCTTCGCTCTCCGGTTTCGACGAATCACTATCGTCCGAAAGAATAGAATTACCACTCGCTCCTGTGCAGATGAAGAAAAGACGGAGACAAGCACAAGCCAGTTAGTTGCAGAACGTCAGTACCGTCGGTCAGTCTCGTGCAATGCTATCGCATGAGCTGACTGTTTAGTAACTGGTGGTGTTAATGGACATTATAGCGTAACTTGTAGTTTCTTGGTCCTTTTTTCTATAAATTTATCCTTCGCTCTCCATCCGAGTCCATACATGCACAGTCACGCTATTTTCTGCTGGTGTATGCTCGCACACACTTCACATGGTTGAGATACGCACATGGCATCCGGAGTGGCCTCAAATCAAATCAAGAGCAACAGGATAGCAAGGGGACAATCATATCTACAGCTCAGCATAAACAGCATACACATGTAGATTTCGACATAGTCAGACCTCGCATAACCGCACACATCTGTTTTCCACAAAATATCCAGATAGGCGAGGGAACCGGATAATCGAACACACATACTGTATATATGCACGGTAAATGCTGTAATATTCTTCGGGATGGCGAGGGATCCGGAAAAAAGAGGACCGGATAAGCGAGGTCTAATGTACTGTGCATGTTCAGCTCCTCCACGAGCGCAGGTAATGCACACGAAGAGCTGCAGAGCAGCATGCATTCCTTCGAGGCCGGCAACCTTCCTTCTTCTGGCATTCGGAGCACATGAAAAGTAGCTGAATAATACCACCATACATGTGTTATATGCATAGAGTGCTGTAACGCTGGTCGATTCACATCCACCATTCGCAGTCTAAGGCGCAGGGACAATTTGTGACATTTTTTATGCGTCTTAGAGTGCAGCTAACACCCCGGAAAGAACGGTATGATAAATATACCGTATTTTCCAAAATACTATTGAAGCAAGCGATTTGGATGAAAAGGCATACCTGCGATCGCCCTCAACTTTGCCAGGTCCTCACCACCAATTTGCCCGATGGCGGTTGACTGAGCAGAATAGTACACAGATCAAGAACAGTCAAATCACTATACAATGTAATTCAGGTACGTCTAAACGACTGAGTTAACACACTGGCGATAAGCTATGGTTTACATTCACACCGGGGCTGAGTGTGGGGCGTATTGAGAGTTAACTTTACCCTACAGGTAACCAACCGCCTTGAGAATTGAAGCAAAACGGCTAATTTTAGCTGGTAAAACGGGTAGCGCTGTCTGAATCTGGACCACTTCGCGATGAAATATTTTAGCTATCCAAGTTTCAGAGTTAAAAAATATCACTACTACTGTACTGTACAGGCAAAAATCAACTGGCGTGGCAAAACTTTAGCTAAAACACGCCTTTCGTTAAAATTGCTAAAATATCACCGTCGCTCAAATTAGTCGATTTACAATAGTAGTAGAAGCAGAGTAGATGCCCTCAAGTCACCTGGCAGGCAAGGGGTCACAGCAGTATAGACTGAGCGGATCAATTTGAGATTTGCAACTCCAGTCAAACTCGTGCAAAACAAACTCAACATTACCTAGCGAATAGCGACACGATCTTCACACCTAGTGACCATTCGACTGCATACATTCAATCTCATCAATGAGTCATGACGACAACTCATGAATACAACTACACCTTTCTCATGCACAATGCAGTGTCGCAAGGCTTCCTGTACTTCTGGTAACTATAGATTGTTAGAACCAATGAATTGAGCCGCAACACGACAAAAGGGTGCTTTTGGCACGCGACATCAAACTGCGAAAAACTCGTTTGAAAGTTGAGCATGCAATATTGAGAGTGCAGTTTTTTCTTTCTTTTTGAATTTGATCAGTTTCGTTGCGATTTATCAAGCTTTTTGAATGCGTTTTTTTGCAACAGAAGCAGTGAGAATTCAGCCATTGCGCTGTGTCCATAACTCAGTTTGTGAATTTTTCGCCATAAGCACCCTTTTGTCATGGTGCGCCTCAATTATGTATACTTGTGTAGGGTTGCACATACTCGCGTCTTCTTCCTCAGTTCTCGATACATGACTTTTTTCACCGGACTTGAACGCCATAGTATTCTTTGCACTGAACCAAGTTAGAAGGCTATCAGTATAGTATTAATGTAGGCCCAGCGGAACTGGTCCGGTTGGTCAGGCCATGGCCGGACCAACTTTTTGCCCACCAACGTGTGTTTACTGCTGAGGAGGTCATGTGACTACTGTCCATATCATACACAAACTGTATGAAAGTCATGTGTATACCCTCTGTATCATACACAAACTGTATGAAAGGTTAGGGTGTGGTCGGAACAATCGAAAACAGCTGTGCCGCCAGTCCAGAAATGCGAGTAGTACAGCTGTAGCAGCATGCAGACCTACTACAAACATACCGGCCTTGTCTCATTGATGCGTGATCTGGAGTATGACGATACTTCGGCCAGAGCCTCACTGGCCTGCGCCAGCAACTCAGTGCTGATTCCACCGTGAAACCACGCTCCGCTCTTCTTCCAAACCTGCATGGTGGTAGAAAAATGCAAAAAAATAATCAATGGTTCGAGCCAGACTCGGTTGAAGGCCGAGTTTTCCACATCCGTACGTACGCCACCACCCTCTATGATCAAGGCATCCGTATGTACGCCACCACCCTCTATGATCAAGGCATCCGTATGTACGCCACCACCCTCTAGGATCAAGGCATCCGTAGGTACGCCACCACCCTCTATGGTCAAGGCATCCGTTGGTACGCCACCACCCTCTATGGTCAAGGCAGTTCCTAAAGTGCAAACAATCCGAAAGAAATCATACAAGTCTTGACGTTTCCACACAGTGTGTGTGTGGTGCCGGAGTGGACCTCATATAGGCTTCACTATCATCATGGATGGCATAACAGTAGCCGAGCACGATGGCAAGAGGCCTGATGCACTACGCAATTGTGCAAACTACCTGTAATTCATGCGCGCACCCTCCCCCCCCCCCCCCCACACACACACACATACACACGCATGCCTGTTTGAATGCATAAAACTCACACATACACACACGCGCGCACACACGCTCACACACAAAGACACAATCTACCTACCTCTTGGCACTCAGAGCAGTAGAGGCAGATCCATTGTTTCTTCTCTGATCGTCTCTCTGCCCCCAGCAGCCCTGCAGCACCAGCACCACTTGTCCTCTCCTTAGATTGCAGGGACTGGCGGTTGGTCTGCGCCAGGCTGGTGGGCGGCGTGGTCCGCTGTCCGGGTGTCGCACTCGCCGACGATGGCCGAGAGTCGGGGAAAGGTGACGAAGACGGCGAAGGGCCACTGCTGCTGTTGCCGCTCGACATCGGCGTGTGCACCTCACCGACATATCCGCAGGAACGACATACCCGCTGCACATCGCAGTCACATAGAAATAACATACCGCGGACTAAGTACATTCAAAAGCGTTTCACAATTCATGTAAAACTCAACTTGACTGGTTTCTATAACCGTCGATTATGAGTGCACAATTAGTTTTATTCATGATGTATGTTCTCATGTAATGAATTCAGTTTAGCGTATGCGCACATCTCGCAACTACGCATCTGCTGCGCAACAGCGCCCGCTACTGTTCTTGCTGTGTCACTTGTTAGCGCACTATAACAAAGCTGCTAATGCTCTGTCTCGTTTCCAACATGCAGGCGTTTCGCGAGGCGGTTGGGAGCTCGGGCGACAGACGGCCTGTTCCAGCCATTCTAACTGCCACGGACGAATTGGCAGCACGAAATGCTGCTCATGCTATATCGTACAACACCAGATGAACGTATTCTGCAGGCGAATCTTAGTACTAGTACCTCAAGTTCTGCCAATTTCCAAGATTGTCCCCGTTTCCCGCTTCAGACCTAACGCTAAGTAGTTTTGCAAGCGGTCAAAGACCAAAAATTGAATGCAGTGCATCCGCGTTACATTTGTGTCAGGTCACGAGTTCCTAATTCATTGTGGGCTGCAGCACGTTCGGGAAAATCATTCCACTTCTAAGCATTGTAACATTACTCGTAATATGCCAAACAAATAAATTTGGGAATCTCTGAAGCTTCAGATGCAGTTTAGTGTAGATTTGAGTTCACTGTTCACGTGCCTCACTCGACAGCTGCATGTATGAGCTAGTTGAATCTCAACTCAACTGCCGTTGCGCTGCCTTCACTATGCATCCATATGCCTGATGGTTAGTGGGTTTCCACTATTCGAGGGAATAAAAAATAAATAAATAAAAAATTCAACGGGCTCGCGTACCGGGCAGGTCAAGAACAAAGAGTCGTACAACTCCCTGGTCAAGAACCACCTTTCCGCTTCCGTGGGACGCCACCACCCCATGATCAGGCGTCAGATGCGGCTCCTAAACGGTGGGGGAGGATAGATCAGATCCACCAACCAGAGGCCAAAGGCCTCAATCCCATTTGCCACATCCATGTATTATAGGGGATTCACACACACGGGTAAACCTGAGGTCACGGGACAAGGTAAAAGTTCAGACCTTCGGTTAAAGGAGTGGGGCCGTTCACACCCGTGGTCAGTTTTGCCTGGCCACATGTTTGGCCATGGCCTTGTGGCGGGGCAACTAAAAAAATAATCTGTACTGCATTTTTGTAGTACATTCTGTACTGTATCTTGCATTCGCCATGCACGAATTTCCGATGGGCACTGTCTGAAAATGCAAGTTGCGATGCACTCGTACAACTAAAGTTCAGAGTTCTCGCCAAAGACAAGATCTACGCATGCGCGTCTTATAGCCATGGGATTTTTCCCTTGACAAACGCCCTGAGGCCCACGGCCACGGATTTGCCAATTTTTTCCCGAGAGGTTCTTCCTTTCCCCCAGTACCATAGTTTCCATATTAAAGGGGAAGTCCGGTGAAAAATTTAAATTTCACTGTCCGTAGAGTTCGGGTCGCTGAGTCGAATGGTCTTTGTCCGAGGAGGCTGCGGCTTATGGTTCGTCAGATACGCCCAATCGAACATGTGCGAATTTGAGCGCGCATCACCCAGATCCAGGTGATGACGTCACAGCGTGCAGTCAGGTAGCCACACCATCTAGTTGTGTACAAAAATGGCCATATTCGGGGCGCGTTCGATTGGGGAACCGTTTGTCGCAGCTTCTTCGGACCAAGACCATTCGATTCAGTGTTACAAACACTACGTACCCTGTAATTTTCAGCTCGGTAAACCTGGAGGTTATACCGTATTATAGCCGTTTCCGAGTTGGACTTTTCCGTCAGCCTCTACTGGCTCTAGCTCTACGCGCTCTGCGCTGCGTGCATGCAGTGCGTGCAGTGTGTTCTCTAGCTGTAGTGCAGTCAACAAACTCATCACATGCACAGAGGAACTACTCCCGCACTGCCGTGCTGGGGTAGTATGTACAAGACTCGAGTCACAACTGACACAAGACTCAGAAAACTAGTCAACACACGGACTTGTCATGTACTACACTCGTATCAGTCGTATTGTACAGTCATGTAGTCAGAGAACGTGCGTTTCTCCTTGCCGGTGGTTGTGCTTTGAGAAAGAAAATTTTAGTTTTCCGCACCCGCCTCATTATTTTTATGTTACAGCGATGAGTGCACAACCGGTTAACCGTGACAAGTGACAAAACAGCGAACAGCTCCCGGACCTAGAACTGTCAGATTCCATAGCGTTGCGAGCGAAGAGTCGTGCCCGTGGTTCAAAGAGCCTGCACTGTTCTCCAATTGAGTAGTCCGAAATATTCCAAGTTCGCACCAAAACATCACCATGTGGCAGGCTCCTGGAGTCTAAGCGAATCTAATCGGTATGGAACAACATTTAGAGCACTCGCATCACTCTTCTCCATTTTGGCGACCCTGCTCTCCAGCGATCTGATCAGCCTCGTCTGCAATAGCTGCTGCTTCTTCATCAGTCGGAAACTCAGTAGCGCTCACTCTTGACCCCATTTCTTCAGCTGAATACCGAGGTTCTCAGCCCCAGACCGAACTCATGAAGGTCAGCCATGGCTGCATCCTCACTCTCACAAGGAGTTACAGGTCTTCGGGGTCGCTTGCACCAAACTATCAGTCGCCAAATCATTTGAAATAGCACTGACACTATTGCTTTCATGCACTCCTTTTGACCTAGCTGCACGCTATGACGTTGCAGAGGGTGTGGCGCGGCCGCATGACGTCATGGCGCAGCCCCCGAAACTCAGTTTTTCAAACGGAAATATCTCGAGAACGCTTTGTCGGAGACACGTGGGACCAACACCATTCGACTCAGCGGCCGAAACTCTACCGACCCTGAAATTTAAATTTTTCACCGGACTTCCCCTTTAAACAACTTTCCCATAACCGTGGTTTTACCTGTGTACGTGTGTGTGAATCCCCTATTACTCATGCCATGCCACGAGTTCCCAATTAACTGTGGGTCGCAGCACCGTTGGAAAAAATCCTTCCGCTTCCAAGCAGGACTTGAACCTGGTACCTCTCGTTTCTCAATCATGGTCTTAGACCAAAGCACTGTGCCTGCCTGAGGGAATGGAAAAGGAAAAAAATCTGAAGAAAAAAATCAACTGTCACCACCAGGACTCAAACCAGGGACCTTCGTTTGAGGCCAGCGATGCTCTAACCATTGAGCTGTGTGGGTTTTGTGGGGGAAATATAAACTGTATGCATCCGTACCCTGTTGCAGCCAGCACAGGTCTTCATCTGCAGCTTGGTGATGAGGTTGAAGGCTGTTCCGCACAGATCACACATGTACGGGCTGGCATGGACTGTCGGACCCTTGCGGATACGATCCAACTTTGTCAGCATCAGCCTGAGGGAGAACACAGAAATCAAGACAGTAGGACACCGCATGAGCACGCTGACATTTTACTCGGTACTGTCGTATTTCAAGGAGACTAGGGGGGGGGGCAGAGGGGTGCGTAGCTCCCCCCACCCCACCCCGCACACCCTGACAACACACTAGGGGTCAAACGGGTGTACCTTTCACTAACGGACGGGTAATTTTCTTACCAGGTGGGTTAACGGGTACCCCTTAGCAGCCATGTTTAAATTTTGCGCAATTTTTACATAAATTATGGTCTTAATTTATCTGTTCTCAGGTTGCATTTTGATATCACATCATGATTCGTAAATTGATTTGTGTCTGATAGCTGGAGAGGTAGATCTCCTAGGTGTGAAAATGCAACAACAATGCAGACATCCAGGGTAGAGTTGTAAATAATTGACTCCCGCCTGGAATGCATGATCCCAGCAGCGTTGTTCCGTACTGATTAGATCATCGAAATCCAAACGGGTACCCTTTTGCTAACGGTACCAGAGGTTAACGGCCGGGTACCCGGAACACCCCTACAACACACCCCTAATCAAATTTGTTGATGGTTATGCTTTCAATCCACTCAACGTAAAGGTGGCAACAAATCCACTGTTCCGGGTGCCCGTACGTTACAATCATTTCGTGTGACAAGGCAATATTGGAAAATGGAAAAGGGTAATGGTTTGCTTCCCCTCCCCTCCTTGTTCTTGACCTGCCCGGTACGCGAACCCCGTCTAATTTATTTTTATTTTATTTTAAATATGTATAAAACCGACGCTACAGAGCAAACTGTTGTAATGTACTAGAAGTACAATGAACTAAATATCAGTGCGCAGCCATGCATGTAAGTACAGACATGCACATACACACACAGTTTCTATTTTCACCCAGGAAAGTGTCTCAGATTCAATTTTATGAACTGCATTCGAAGTACAGCGTTGGAGTAATCAGGTTGCTTGAGTTTGCGCTCTGCACCATTTCGCAGCCCAGCGTTCGCTCACGCCCGGCGCGTACTTGAGTGACTTGACTGGATTGCGTCGAGCAGCACTGTACATTACTAACTTAGCACACACTCATCCCACTCTCCTTACATCACGCGATTGGCCTCGATTTGCTCGTACTCCTGTGCAACCTTCAACCTGGCTTCAATGATAGCCAGTTCATTGGCCGACACTGGCTCCGTGGATGTTACAGAACGGCGCGCGGACACGGAGGAACGGGTACACCAACCGCTGCCATCCGACAACCTGAACACATGATCAAAAGGCAGGGGAGAGAGCATGCATACTTGCAGGGTCAAACTTAAAAATTTGACAGACACTTCATCAATCCAGCATCTGGGGAAAAAGTTAGCGTTTTGATCATTAAAATTTTTATTTTTTTATTTCGCGGTTCGACGCCGAGTTTTCCGCATCCGTAGGAATGCCACCAACCTCTAGGACCAAGGCGCAGATGCAGCTCCTAAGCGGTGGGAGTTTTGATCATAAGTTACAACTAAAAAAAATGAACAATCACTTGAAAGGCAGACCGTTGCCACTCTAATGCCTGGGCCGCAGTAGCCCGATTTTTCATGCTAGTTTCGGGAATTTCGGTAGAGAAACCAGGCACCGAAATTTAGACTGCACCTGAAAGGCACTGGAGTTTGCACAGTACCTGTAGACGAAGGGAAGGCTGGTCACCTACATGTAATTCTACATGACACCTGAAACCTGGCAGGTCTCTGACACCGAAATGTTGGCACATCCAATATTACATACATGTATTGTACATTACACTGAGAAGTACTAGTAACTAAGAAGAAGATCATCCACTTCAAGTAGCAGACATCAGTCAAGCTCTAAGGAGCTTGCCGACTTGAAGAACAGCGGTAAGAAACTTTGCAGAGAACAGTCCATTCCATCATGAATGAGCCATAGTTGTAATTCTTTTCACCAGGAAATAGAACAATGAAGACCGCACCCAGCGTACTATCATACATTGTACAGGTTCAATATTATTATAGTATTGAACCTGTACAAGGTACGATAGAGCGTAAAACATGTACGTTCTACCAAACAAAGAGCAGGGGTATGATAATTTATTATCAACCACCACACCACTGCTAGCCATTAAAAAAACTCCAACTACAAGCGCTAGACTGTCACGAGCGAACCTTCCTGAGCTGGTTATGTTTCTGTACAGATCTGCTCGTAAAGCGGATGTGCAAACTTTACCGGCTAACTAGACAACGCTGTGTCCATCCTTGTTTGTTTAGCTATTGTATGTTGGTTAGCACTGCGATAGTCCGGTAGGTGTGAAAGGTGAAAGCCATAACATTGGGGGCACTTCAATTCACTTACAAGTACATGTGTGCACTGCACGGGGAAGAGTGAACTGATAGGTCAAGTGGCACACATACTTGGAAGTACTCAAGGGCGGGGGGGGGGGGTATGGGATCAATGAATACACTGTCCTACAAAACAATAATCAATGGATTCAACACATACATGTACATGTAGCTATAAATACAGTAGGGTGTAGTCTGGCAAGTAACGTTTGTTACCTGGTAGTTTGCAGCTTATTCTTTTTTTACTTTGTGGGACCAAGTCCCCTTTCATCATTGGTAGAACACATACATGTAATCACGGGCATTGGTAAAACAAATACATGTAATCACGGGCAAGGATATGAATGTGATCCAGCACTACACTTTACTTGAATTTAGTAAAGGACTAAAGGTGGAAACAATCACTGACCACTGACACTGTTGTTCAAACACTGCCACTGGGGAAAGTGGTGGATTATTTATTTAAAACAATGCTCTGTACTTGCTACAGCTTTCTCTACACAATCCCAGCATACACACACACATACACACACATACACACACACACACACACACACACACACACACACACACACAGCCATGCTAAATGACAGGAGTAATAGTTATTTCCAGTAGTTTGAGGAACGGATCTCAAATATACATGGGTATATCAACTATCTTCTTGGCAACTGCAGTTCTATGACTTCTGCTTTAAAACGAACCTGCTTTAAAAGGAACCTGGCACTTACACACAACTCAGGCCTGCAGAAAAGAAAGCAGCCACACGAACTACAATGCATGTCTGGCGACATTCCGCACCTGAAGTCCTTAAGGGCGTGGAAACGGGACGTCCAAAATATTTGATTGGGGGGGGGGGGGGACGTCCAATTTGATTCAGGGAGGCAAGACAGGAGTACAGCTAGGTTGGTAATTTAATGGACATACTTGATACTAGATGGCAATGTAAAGTACGCCTTTTACTTCAGTCTTTCTGAAGAGCCGCTCATACATACTCGAAAAATTATTCATTGCTACATTTGGATTTGGTGTAATCAGGTAGGGATCATTGGACAGCACAAGACCACAGGAGTGCGATGATTAACATGATGATGCGTGTCAATTAATCAAATCCTGCAGAATTCTGATGTCTCACCATGGTGCTCGTTACGCAAATTCATTGCCTACAGTAGCTACACTACAGGACGAATTTCAGTGTCCATGGTCAAAACAATAATAATTACAAGTAAATACTACCCAGAAGTACAATTATGTACATGACTGTACAAGTAGCTCTTGCCTCAAATAGCAAGGGTTGCAGGACTAGGACCTGACACGGCCACTTGTACTAGTTGTCCTGCTAATATTATTATAAGTCCCTCAGCACGTCAACACGCCACTGTACTGGGCATGAAGATCTTTTACTAGTATGCGTTAACTTTTCTCTGTACTCCACTCACTCATCCAACTACATGTACTAAGTTAATAGTAAGAATCATAGAACAAGACATGAGAAATTTTCTAATCCCCACCGCCTAGAAAAGACACCTTCCTCCCAAACACGATCAACGCCGCAACCAAACGCTTGTCGCTCATACAGTCCGTGATAGCTTTTTTTTATAAAACTCTGATGCCTACTGTAAATGGTTAATCGACTCCGCGATCCGTGGACTTTACAATGTGAACTTCAGATAAAATTAATAATTTAATTCCGGTGTACGCGGTAACCAGGTAACGTCGTTGCTTTGCTTACCTGGAACGAAGCATCAGCTCTCTGTCGTTCGGGCATATCCATCTTGCATTGGGCCCAGGAACTGACATGGTCAACTCGTTGCAGCTACGCGTATCTGGTCGTTGAAGCTGTGCGTCTCTGTACAGCTCCCCTGCAAATCAGCTCCTATCTCTCTTTCTCTAGCACGTGTGATCCACAATGCCGGCCAGCACTTGAAAACTGCAACACGGGGACCGGAGTACTCCAATTCTATCGCTTTTCGATGGGCCTCGGTGGGTACTTCAAAGCCCAATGCAGCATGCAGCAGCACACAGACACTGCAAAAAACCCTTTCAGGTTGGCCGCTCGGTTCCTCGGCTCCGGGAGAACCAAGAACTAGGAAACACTGACTCCTAGGCCAGAGTTCGACAGCCAAACGCGCCGCCGAACATAGAGCAACGCATCGCCGGGCGCTGCCCTCCGCCACACCAAACCCAAGATACCACAAATGGGCTGAAACCCATTGAAGAAAAACAACACACAAACAGGACAAACCGTGCTGTCCGTAGTGTCCTCGCCGTAACGGCGTAAGAACTCAAGCCTGGAGTGACAATGCCTTGCCGACCGCTCGGCACACAGCTAGTTAGCTCCAGGCCCGGATTAGCGCTAGCAGTAGCGTAGTAAGTAATTTAGTTGTAGGCTGGGTTTGGAAAGACAAGTAATTAGTTGCAGTGCACCTGTCTGCTGATGACACTTCGACTCGAGTGAGACGCATACTCGCTGGTCTAGACCTCCATGGATGATGATCCACTCTACAAAACTAGTGACGTGTGCGACGAGTGAGCCCTCGCTCGAGGAAGGACATAACTATTACTAGTAAGTCACGGTGAAGACATGCTATGTTGAAGGTGCGAAGCGGTGCACACGACGTAACGTTTCCGTGATATCCGATTCCTAATATTAATGGCTTCACCGCTGCATGCACTGCAGTAATCCAGATATCCACATGTACATCATGGTCACCCATGCAGTCTACACAGCACACAGTCACAGGCATTATGATTGTATCTAGTAATATTGACTTTTACACTTTAATACCAGGCTAGGGGTAACTAGCCCAGGGTCAACAGGAAGTAAAAGCCGAGTAAAAGACCGAGGGTAATAATTGCATTACCACTCAATTACTTTTACTTGGTTCAAGGGTATCCAGGATAAAGAACAATACTCCTTCGTTTCATTAGACATCGTTGCTACCCGTCGATCTCAGTGCTGCTCCTCATAGCGGCGCTCGAGTTTGCAGCACCGCCAATCCCCAGCAGGATGTCGATACGATTATGCATGCCAGAAAATCCGTATCATGTACTGGCGACAAGGTACATGCATGGGTCAAAAAGGACAAGAAAGGTTCCGTCGTTACCATGGTTACGATGGGGAGGTACAATGGCGCGTAGGTGTGCCAGGTGGTAGGAGCGTTCCTGCTAGATGTCTAGCAGACATGTTCAGCCCCGCCAGTGTAGGACTGTACCGGGACGATGGCCTTGCAGTGTTCAAGAACATGACGTGACACGAGGCAGACTCCATCCGCAAAGCTATCACACACGAAGCTGTTCAAAAATTCCGACTTCAAAATCGCGATTAGCACCAACCAGAGATAGAACGCCTTGTTGCTACCGTCAACCCCGCAAATGACCGCTACGAGCTGTACCGAAAACCGAACACCAAGAAAATGAACCACCCGCCGACAATCATCCAGAACTACAGTTACTTTCCGGCCATTGGCAAGCGAGTGTCGTCTATTTTGTTGCTAAAAGACTGAGGTCTTCAACAACTCAGCACTAGCTCACATTACAAGGCAGCAATATCAGCCAGCGGATTGTCGACAACGGCGACCATGCAAAGAAGAATCGAGAGAGGAAGCGAAACGTAATCTGGTACAACCCGCCATTTAGCAAATCCGTGTCCGCTAGCATCGGCCAATAGACCAATCCCGAAAAGATTGTCTGGGTTCGAAAGGGGGCATGTCAACTGAGAGTACACTGTACAACACATACATGGCACTACCTGATCAGCATGCGGCACAGGACGTGTTTGATAGTTCGCGTGTGAATGCGATGGTAAGTACACGGTTTTCTCGTTAGTTGCATGCAAGAGAGACGATGCGACAGAAAACAAAGCCCTTTGTAGTTTTCTCTCTCGCACTGGTAATGGTCTGCTGTTGGAGTGGAAATGCTAAGACATAATCCTTGTTTCGCTCTTCTGTGTAGTGTGAAGAGGTCAACGAACATGTAGAGCTCACTTTGATGAAGTAGGCAAGGCTGTGAGCGCTGTGGCTCAAAGCGATAGGCCCTAAATCTTACGAGATATTTCGAGTGCTATTGTTTGTTGCGAGCGCTTCGTCTTCGATGAGTCCTGCCTCTTTCCTGGCAGCTGCCCTCCTATAGGATCAACCACGAAGTGACTGTACTCATCTGCAGCCGATCAATGTTATATTGCACAAGAAGATATCGTTTTCGCCAAGCCAGTGCCCCGCCAAAGACCATCGCCGTGTCACACCGTCGGAAGGAGTTCATGATGAGAAACATCATTCGCGCGAGCGTGATGAAGAACTATTTCGAAAGACAACATAGTCTTTACCCCCGGGACGACAACTATGTGCACGTCCTGCAAGGGGAGAATGTCACCAGCGACATCAACGAAGACGACGGCAGTATTTCGGAAACCTGGAGTCAGCGGAGGTCGTCAAGCTCCTCCGCGACCCGGTACATGTACAGTATAGGTGACATGTCGACACGAGCGTGCGGAAACACAGCATACACTGTAGTAATATTGCGAGAGTTTGCGGAAGGAGTCCAAGTCGGGAAATCCATCAGCTCCAAAAGCTACCTGTAGGTGGGCGATGAGACTCCAGCTTCAGACTACAACAGTCAGGACTTGTAAATAGTTGAACTTTGTGAAGCAGCAGATCGAGAAGTTAGCTGAAATCGTAGCTGTTGCAGTATGTCGGCGCTATGTAGCTTGCATTTTTTACGGAGAGTCGATCGCCACGCGAATGTTTCTCTCCTCACCGAGAGCTATCTGGCCTCCAAACTCCGTCAGGGTTTGCCTAAGGTACCGAAGGTCCTTTGACTAGCTGCTGGCAGGACTCCATCAAATCCTTTAGCTTCAGCTCGGCGAGCAAAAGTCTCTCTCTCCTCCGCCATGAGCTGACACACACAAACTGAATACAAAACGATGCACTTCACACGTGCTGGCTTGCACGCGTGCCCCCTTTCACGAACCCAGACAATCTTTTCGGGATTGGTCTATTCCTGAAGCTGGTCCTAAAGCATTTCCCGGCATCGTCGCCCCTAGTGAACTACCAGTACCAGTATGTTCGACAAAACACGCTCAACGTCAGCTACATGACTTGTGCATGCCCAATATGGCCTGGAGAATTGTGTGTTGCTCCCTACATGGGAGCTCGCGGTTTTCCTGCCGACTTGAATTCTCACTTGATTGACTCACGACTGCCATCCAGAGCACACGAGAAGTCCATCGAACCTTCCACTCGGCAAACCGCAGGAAAGCACCACTCCCTGCTCAATACACATAATTATGGCCTGCCTAATCAAGGGGCACAACAAGAAGGTGCTATCCCAGACCGACGTGTGGAAGCTAGTAGTGAAATGCAACTGCCGAGTCCCCTTGGCTTGCCTTCTGGACGGCCGATGTTTGCAGGAGAGCTAGAGCTAGTAGAGGGTGGTCTACCAAGTGGCCGTCACAACTCGGAGCTCAGGCAATGAGAGGCAGTGCTTCGGGCTTTGTGACACACCGTTCAAGACACGCTATGGCAACCACCTGACAACTATGAGGCACGAAAAAGTATGGCAAAGGCATAGAAGTATCAAAGCACTTGTGGGCATTGCAGGACAAGGGTGAAGCGCACATTGGGTGGTCCATCGTGGACAGGACCAAGACGTGCAGAAAGCAGAACTTAACAAAAAGGTGCGGCCTGCGCTTGGCTGAAAAGGTGAAGATTATCCACGCTGATGCATCCATTCTTCTAAACAAAACAAAAATCAGAATTGGCATCAAAATGCCGGCACCAGAACGAGAGGGCTTGAAAACCCCGCAGCTAGGGATCAGCGGATTCTGAGGGCAGAAATTCGAGCAGAATCGAGGGTTCTGGAGATGGAGCAGAATTTGGCAGTGAAGACCTTTACTGGAGCAGAAGTCTACCATACCTGCCAACCTTTGTCCTTTGCAAATCTGATATCAGAACAATGATATACCTACATGTACATGTAGGTATGAAAATGTGTACTTGTGTAGCTATGAGGCATGCGACGAATACACTTGTGGCTGCCTACTACACGTACCACCCTCGGTATCGGGACAGTCACGGCAAAATCGGGATGGTCCGTTGGCAGGTATGCACTACATAATACGGGATACATGTCTATGACTGTACATGGTATTCCTTGGCCACGACAGCAGGCGAAGCTCGACCTACTAACTTAAATTAAGTACTAGACTTCTTTCCCCTGACAAACCAAACGTTTCGAAGAAGGACTGGCATCCAGCAACGCGCGATGAATACGTGACTGAGTGAACTAATTACTTCAATTTGCCCAAACTCACTTACAGTCTTAGGCGTCTTTCCACATCAATGAACTCGTCGTTCCATCCGCGATTAACCGGCTGGCTGCTCTTCTTTTTTTGTGGTTCGCCATACATTCACCGACCGCAGTGGCTGCTTCTTTGAGCACGCTAGTTCATCCTTTCATAGTCCACAGGGCTACCACGCATTGTTTCTACCGCAGTCGCATATCACGTAGTTCCCGGGCCTAACATTGCTCAATAAAATAGTTGCTTTGTCGACTCAGGGACTGTGCTCATTCCTACTAACAAGTTCTTTGTGAAGGGATAAGAAAAGGTATCTTCCGCAGAACCACATCTGTACGTTCACCAGAGGCCAGGGAGATTGAGATACATGTAGTTGTTTAAAATTGAAGATTGAGGATGTGGAGGAAATTGAAGAAGAAATTCAAAATTCAAATTTGTTGAACAGTACTAAACTTTCTTGCAGGTTTGCCGAGTGGACGTTCGATGGACTTCTCCTGTGCTCTGGATGGGAGTCATGAGTCAGTCAAGTGAGAATTCAAGTCGGAAGGAAAACCGCGAGCTCCCATGTAGGGAGCAACACACTCTTCCCCTACTATCGCCGAAGTCGCACCAACCTCTTCTTCACATTGTTGTCCCCAGCGCGGGTTTGCGAATTAGATGGTTTGGAGGCAACAACGTTGTGAATGACCAACGTTCCTCAGCGCTTGTTCAGCACCTCCATGATCGACACTGACTCACGCTGCTATCTGGTGTTCACGAGGTGTTTGTCGCACTGGAAACGGAGCGTCTCTGTAAGTTTGTATCCCTGGTGATGTTTGTGCCTGGAGAGCAGTATATAAGTGGTGCTCTTCAGCCACAATCTTCCTCAGCCTACTCAAGCTCACTTGATGACGGGTGAATTCCCCGAAACACTGTGTATTGAGCAGGGAGTGGTGCTTTCTTGCAGGTTTGCCGAGTGGACGGTTCGATGGACTTCTCGTGTGCTCTGGATGGCAGTTGTGAGTCAGTCAAGTGAGAATTCAAGTCGGCAGGAAAACCGCGGGCTCCCATGTGGAGAGCAACACACAATT